TCATTCGGAAACTTATCCGGATTTATTACCAGCGTTAATTTGTTAGGAAGTAAATTTTCATATCTCGTGGGATAATGTAATTTTCGGATTAATATAGATATCGAAGGAGCGTGTAATTTATTTGGCTTAGACTATGGGAAAGTTTTTATTTATTGATGCAAGAAATGAAATATTGTACCAAATATTTCCTAAAATGGCACAAGAATAATTAATAAATCTAAATTTTGAAGGCATTGAAGGTACTATAGTTACCACTTAACGTGACCATTATTATTTATTACCCATACTAAATATACAATCACATCACTTAACGACTCTGAGTGGAAGGTAGTGATTATTCAACGTCTCTGATGGTAACAAGACATTAAATTTTGATTGCATTTGTGCAATAGGTGGATATAATATCGCATCAGAATACAGCTAATGGCACTGAGAAGGCGATATTCGGAATATTCATCAAGAACGTGGTACCTGATAGCCCCGCGGGACAATGTGGGGAACTACAGGTGAGTTATCTTATATTGTAACTTTATCATATAATCTAATTAAATTTTAGACTAAATTAAGTCTTGATCGCCTAAAGGTTGAATTACAACTTAAAATAAAACAAAAGCATTTCCATGTATCTATACATAAGGCAGCGCTTTTACATTTTGAGCTCAGATCGACCTAAACTAGGGTAATTTTTAAACCAACGTTGCTACAGCTACACGTGCAAATATAGGTTACTGTAAACACTACCAAAACACTAGTAAAAGAACATTAAGAGCCTGTCCCACCAAATTGTAATGGTCTGATAACAAACCAACGTGTTAAATAACAAATAGTGACGGCATTTTTAAGCTATTTGAGCCTGTATTATTTGAGCCAGTGGTGGGACAGGCCCTAGGTGTTATAAGAAACAATGAAAAATTAGAGCCAATACACCATTTCTTTCAGACCGGTGATAGGATTCTAGAAGTAGACGGCGTATGTGTGAGGACAGCGCAGCATGAGAGAGCTGTGCAGCTGATCAAGGCAGCTGGCAGCACTGTCACTTTGACTGTCCAGAGCCTGATAGCTTGGGTAAGCGGGCATTAGAATTCATCCATTACTCTTCAAGATTTAACAAAGTTCAGGGTACTGCTAATTTTATCCAGTTAAGCTGTAATGCAAACTAGTCCGTCATAAAAATATCAGGCGAAAGATAGTCCGGTCTTGAAGTTAATCTAGGCCCTGGTTCTTTGATAGTTAGGATTTTTACTTCCACTGTATATTTGAAAACCTCCGAGGATAAAACTGCAAATTTGCGGTTTTCTAAAAGTCCTATTTTAAGTGCTGCTGAACTGAAAATTTGGAGATGCTGTAAAAAAGACTTCATAATTTTAATTCTCTGTCTAGAATACTGATTCGTCTGACGTTGATGTAACCTCACCAACTCCTTCGAGAACACTTTCATATAAGAAAGGTCCAGCGCCGCCGCCGCCCACCGCCGTCAAGCAAGCT